TTATATTATTATTATTATTATTATTATCATCATTTTGAAATCCGTCGGATTTCACCCGGGCTTTTTCTTTTTAAGTGGAGCGTTTCATGCGAGCGAGAGTTCCATCTCGAGCAAAGAAATAAAATCTGTCAATGTCCTCTCCTTCTTCTCTCCCCCCCCCCACCCCCACCCAACCTCCTCTCCCCACGCCCACCCACCACCACGGACCTCGCCTCCTGCAAGACGACCACACAACAGCACTGAGGGTGTCACCGGGAAGTGTTTCACGCGGATCGCCCTGACCCCCACTTTCGAGGCTTTGGGGGGTGTGTGGGAGGGGGACGAAGGGAGGGGCGGCAAGAACGGTGCCGGGGGGGGGAGGGGGGAAAGGGGAAAAACCCATCCACTCTGTGAGAGTTTCTGTAAGAGGCTGCTGCAGTGCTGACATCATGTCCTGTAGTATCCCCTACAGAAGTGATAATACTTTTAACAGTTTTAATGGATACGCCAGGTCCACCTAATAACCCTGCACTTACGCCAGTTATACTACCGTATCCATAGCTGGTCTCTGCCATCATCCAGAAGTGCCTTAGGAACAGAACTATGTGTGACTGATCACAAGGCAGTCATCCACCCTGAGGACCTCAGGTGTGTGTTGTGTGTGTGTGTGTTGTGTATGTGTGTGTGTATGTGTGTTGTGTGGGTGTGTGTACGTTTGTGTGTATGTGTTGTGTGTCTGTGTGTGTATGTATGTGTGTTGTGTGGGTGTGTGTATGTGTTGTGTGTGTGTGTGTGCTGTGTGTGTGTGTGTGGGTATGTGTGTTGTGTGGCTGTGTGTGTGTGTACATGTGTGCATGTATGTGCAGTGCGCTCAGTGTCTTAATTGAGAACACACAGGGCCCTAATGAGGGCCAAAAATCCCAGCAACATCTCAAATATCACGGGGCCCTGGATGTGCTGTAATTCAGCACAGCTGGACCGCAACTCGAGTCTCAGTCTCCGTACTCAAAGGCTGTGTTGCAGCACAGATATGTTTTCAATGAACAGTACATAAACATGTTAGAGGTTCCTTTGTAAATTGTAGCAAATGCTTTTTGGCTTAAAAAAAAAGCACTTACGCCATAATTCTTTCCCCTCTCTTCTCTCTCCCTCTGGTTTACACATCTCATTAACATCTCTAATTATTACAGACTCTTGCCACTGTCTACGTCTTATTCTCTCCATAGCAACCCTGTGGGCCTCCAAGTTCTATTATTTCTGCCGTTCCGAATGCACGCTGAAATCGTCAGCAGCTGCGTCTCAGAAGAAAGCTCTTGTTGCTCTTTTTTTTTTAAACCCGAAATCCCCTTGCAAATAAAAATGACTACTGAACAGCAGCGTCTAACATAAAATACAGATGTTAGATATTTTCAAAGTTCGGTACCTGCATTCTTGGATAGGATTCATATTTGCTAACCTGCCCAGGCTCACCCCATTTGTATGGGTAATAATCCCTTTAAAAAAATAATAACAAGAAGAATTTGGTCACTCAATCCGCCACTGTTTGTGGGACGTTGCTGTGCGCAATTGGTTGCTTTTGTTTCGCACACAAAACATCGTCAGTTCACTTGTATATTCTGAGAAGCGCTTTGAGACGTCTAGAAGACGTGATCAGGCGCTATATCAAATGCAAGGATTATTAGTGTCAATATTAATATTTGTGGTACAGGACTGACTGAGAGGAAACAGAATTAAATAATTTTAAACACACTCTAATGCTTTTCATTTCAAATAGCTCCTCTTTTGGTCTCCAGAAAAAAATGTGGAAAACAGCTCATAAATACTGGCCTGGTCAAATGAGAATATTTTGTTCCTGTGTACTTCCCATGCACATAGTATAAATGTATATCTGTGGAAAATCTCTGCAGCAAGAAAAACTTCAAAGTAAAGTTGCTTCTACTCTTGCCCGACAATGTCCCTCAACCCCAACCTCAGAATTTCACTCACACTAAAACCTATCTGTCCCACCCATCGGTTGGGTGAGCTTTCAGCCATTGTGGATTTCAAGAGAGAAGTACACGGGTAATATAATAATAATAATCCTCGCACTTGACACAGCGCCTTATCACATCTTCGAGACGTCTCAAAGCGCTTCACAGGATATACTGTAAAGTGAATTGACTGTACGATTTGTGGGCGAAACGCGACAGCCAATTGCACACAGCAGCGTCCCCACAATCAGTCGTGGATTGAGTGACCAAATTATCATTATCATTAAATTTTTTTTGCCCAGTTTATTTTAACTGAGAACTACAGCCATCACCTTCCAGAGGTTATACCGTTCAACAATGTTCGGGGGCTGTTTCGGAGTTCTTTATCGAATGCTGCCAATGCTCCCTCTGTGTTTCGTGGCAAGCTTAATTTTCCACTGGCAGGAATTCCCCGCTTTACATAGCGTACATTCCTGACGGTACAGAGGAGGAGGCTTTAAAATCGACAGGACAAGTGACAGAATTCAAGCTACCCACTTGCAACTTGCGTTGCATCCTGCGAAATATATTCCGACTCCTGTGGAGTCCGCTGTGCGGAGGAGGGGAAGGGGAAATCAGGCACCATGATTTCACTAATGAAAGGCTTGTGCTCAAGACATGAATCGTGCACAGTAATTGGAAACACTCTTTAGGCAGGAGCACAATGGTCACCGTGGTGGTCAGGGTGGCTTGAGTGTCTTATACCCTGGACAGACAGGCGGAGAAGGGAAAGGGATCGTGGAACGGTTTCAGGGAATCTGCAGATCCCATCATGTGCCTTTCTATCGGATGCAACGCCACAGAGTTTTTTAAACTGTAATATTAACTCTCAGTGTCAAATCCTTTTTTGGAAAACTTTTGTTGTGCCAGGGATTTTATGGATTGATCAGCTACAGATGTACAACTCCTTTTCCAAACAATTTGCTTTCCTCTCCTTCCCCCACCACCCCCACCTCCGCCTCACCCCACCCCAAACCCCCCACCCCAAACCCAAACCCCCCCACCCCAATCCCCAACCCCTCACTGTTCCTCTACCTCTTCCGCCCCAGCTTTTTTTTAAAAACAAATGTTTTGACTTGAATAAAGACATTTCGCTTTTCTTGGGTTTGGGTTTTGCTGAACATTTGGCATTTTTTTTGATAGAGGACATTGAGGTCCACATTAACGGACTGTTACTTTGCAGTGAGAGCTGCTGTGTGTTCAAACAGCCAGACATGTACTCCCAGGTTCAGCCAATTCACATAGTGATGAGGTTGCTATAGTTTCCAATAACATAGCAAAGGCTCACCAGCAAAAAAAAGTGTTTTTTTTTCCTTTTCCTTTGGAACTTTGCCACTGTAGTAGTTCAGGAGACATTCCTGGCAACGACTTCAAAATGGGTACGTTTAAGGGCAGGTTATTTTCATTTAATGAGATTTTAAATGTGGTTTTCTCTCATTGATAGACTACGTTCAAACAACAACGGAATTAAGCTTTCAAGTGGGTTATTTTCAATGGACGTATCGAACGGCTTTTCAGATTTCTGTGCTAAATCTCAGCATTTCTACTCTACACTGTTATCCCCCCACCCAAAAATATACAATTAGGGGCATTAAACTGCCTTTTAAGGAGGACAGGAAGCATTGCTATTTGGAGATGTTCCCTAACAGCAACTCAGTGAACTCGGGCTGTATCCACGGGATTGCTTTCACCTCCACACATGTGAATGGAAGAGATTGTTTGATGGGAAATGTGAAACATTCATTTCAATCTGTTTCAATGGGAACAAAACTTGCATTTAGATTCAAATCAAAGTAGCTTACAGCCACATGAGATGCATTACAGGTTTCTATTTCTGCAACCGTGGTAGGAATGGGACAAACTTGTACTCCAAGACACTGCTGACGACAGTCCCGGGCCACCCTGGCTCATTGGCAGGACTCGGAAGGACAGACCAGTCACTGGGGGCAGGGAGTCAGGCCACTCAGCTCCCGTTAACCCTCCAACCCGCGGCTGGACAAGCAGCGGGGAAGCTTGCCAGACAGCGCTCTCAATGGCAGGCTATGAGGTTTTAGCTGGTTAGACTCCAGCTGTTCCCCCAACGCACACTCTGGGGTCCCCAAGCCTTTGGCTCTTACCAACCTGCGCCTAAAAATGCCCCAGAATTAGGTAAACAGGATGCATCCGTCTGGTGAGACAGTGCTCTTTCTGTTCCAAATCTCTTGGATTTCTACTTGTTGTTGGCACGCGTGGAAATCTCAGTTTGGTTTGGAGACTCTTAAGCGTGGTGATGGGTTTCCACGTGTGTCAGACACCCGGCTGACCTCAAAGAATTGACACAATTACCGTTATTTGCGTACATTTTGCCGACAAAATACGCAGTCGCACCAAGTTACAGGAAAATCCCGTGGAGCACTTTAACATTCGTCACAACGTGAAAGGCGGTGAATCAAGCACCAGAATCATTATGTTATTATTCTCAATGATCTTAACATTTAACTTTGTCTCAAGAGGGTTTTTGTCTTTGTGCTCAAAGTGCTGCCACTTGTAAATCATCCCGTCTTCCTCAATTGTAGTCAGAAATCTACATTTTTTTGTAGGCGTTTGCCAACAATTAATTATTAGTATTTATTTTTATAATAATCCTTGCATTTATTAGAACTGATAAAACTCCTTATCACAGCAAAGCCCTTCATTTCTTTACTGTAAAGTGTAGTAACTATGAAGTTGGAGGCAAAACGCGGCAGCCAATTTGCACACGGCAATGTCCCACAAACATCCACAAAGTGAATGGTTAATTCTTTATCCGGGTGGGCGGTGTGGTGTGGGGAGGGGGGGGGGCAATAGTTGGCCTGGACACTGGGAGAGAAAAACTCACTTCTCTCTTCGAATAGTGCGAAGGGATCTTTAACGTCCACCTGAACTGGTACAGTCAAGCCTCAAGTTTCACATCTCATCCGAAGGAGGGTTTGCTCTCAGCTGGCAGACNAAAAAGGCACAACCGATTTTGATCAAAGTTGAACAGAGACTTACAGAGAGGATGGTGGTTAGAATACCAGCAGCACAAAGCACAGCATCACTGATTGTGTCTCCGTTCTTATAGGGGTACTTGATGCTCTCGTCATTGCAGTAAAATCCACGTTTATAAGGTTTGATGGTGCTAGTTTCGATTACCAGGAATGGAAGGCCAGCTGATGGAAAGGACGACAACAGATACAGACAAGGCAAGGGTAAGTAACATCGACAACAAAGAGCTCAGGAGCACAACTGCTACAACAAAGTAAAGTGTGGCATCATTGAACAAACATGTAGGATATCTCAGAATCCCCTCCCCGCTCCCCACATCGTTGCAGCTTAATAGTGGACCTCAAATTGTATAGAGTTGCAACATTTATTTTTTTCAAGCATCGAAAGAGCATTCTTACAATTAGCCCTGAAGCACGATGAGCTAGCGGAGTTTAGGGATGTGTGTGAGTAGCTGTTTCTAAGCGTTGCCACGGTGGGTTAGGGCTCGTTTCTCCCAGAATGCGAGGTTTGGATTGTCATTCAGACACTTATTTTCCCACTGGTTTTGTATCCATCTGGTTGTTGTTGTAACACATAGCTGTTGTCTTGCAATTCACACCCTAATTAGTTCAATGGACCTAAAAAAAACGGCGTCACATTAGCATGTGAACAAGCCTGACTGTTGGGCTAATCTTGTGCAGGGTGGAGCTGGTAAAGGAGGGTGTTGGAAAAGTCATGCCTGGAGGTGTCAAAGACATGGGTGTTGCTTTCAGCTACGCTCGGGGGAAGCAGTGACGGAGATGGAGTAAAAAGAGCCAGCCGGGATGTAAAATGTAAAGGAGAATTTCCACTGGCGGGTGGGTCGGGAACCAGGGGACATAGATTCAAGATAATTGGCAAAAGAACCAGAGGGGAGACGAGAAGAATTTTTTTTACACACACACACAGTTGTTACGGTCTGGAATGCGCTGCCTGAAAGGATGGTGGAAACCGATTCAGTAACGACTTTCAAAAGGGAATTGAATAGGTACTTGAAGAGGTAAAATTTGCAAGGTTATGAGTGGGACTGATCGGGCAACTCTTCCAAAGCGCCAGCACGGGCACGATGGGCCGAATGGCCTCTTTCTGTGCTGTAATATTCTATGATTCTATGAGAGTTTAAAGTGTTGAACAGTATGTTAGAGTGAACAACAAGAGAGCAGTGCCTGAGGTGAGGAAGCGATGACGTGAGCCGGCCAGGATAGTCACAGTTTTGTCAATGTTTGAGTTGGAGAAAGTTAAGGGACATCCACGACTCGATCTATTAGATCAGTCGTGGTGCTGGAGACGAGGACAGGAGGGTAGGAACAGGGCACGCCATTGTGGCCCAGCTAGTCAGTCCGAAAGTCTAAAAAAATTCCTACATTTCCTTTTTATCCCCCTACATTTCTTGTTCTTTGGAGATTTTGCTCAAATTTCTGTCCTCTCCACTTCTTACAACTGCATCGTATCGCCTTGGGAAGTCCTCCCGACATGAAAGGCGCTATACAGATATGATTTGTTGTTGTTGTTGTTAATATTGTACATATAACAGGAAAGAAGTCTCCTTTCATCTCTGCGAACCGGGTTCAACTCTCAAGACTCTGAAGACAACAAGTCTGGTCTCCCTCATTTGGACTGTTTAGATGAAATGAGTTTTGGCAGCGTCTCAGGCTCTCACACACTTTCTCTCTCTTTCTCTCTCTCTCTCAGAGAATGCTCCACAAAACATTTTGGTCCATCAAAAGCTATCGGTGGTGAAAGAGAGTGTCATGAGTGCAGCTGTACTGTGTGTTTTCTCAGAGTCCGGGGGCATCGAGAACACTTCTCGAGGGTTTAAACTAACCTGTTTCGTCAGTGACGGAAGTAAATCTGTTCCATTTTCCTGGTTCTAGTCAGGAGACGGTCAAACAGCATATAAAGCAACAAATGGAATTGTACTCTTCACTTACGATGTGATACTACTCTGAGCCACACCCACCCCACCTTTTGCCTAAGGTCCAGAATTTACATTCAGGGCCGACTTGCCATCGTAAGATGCCGTTTGAGATAATTGTAAGAACGTCTTAAGATGCTCCACAAAATATGCAATGCACAGTCTTACGTGGAGCAACATGAAGCCAAGAATCAAGAGAGAGAAACAGAAGTCACTGGGAACACTCAGCAGATCAGGCAGCATCTATGGAGAGAGGAAAGTGACTTAAGGTTTCAGGTCGATGACCTTTCGTCAGAGCATTCAGGTCATGGACCTCAACTGTTAACTCACTTCCCTCTCTCCGTAGATGCTGCCTGACCTGCTGAAGTGTTCCCAGTGACTTCGGTTCTAATTCCAGATTTTCAGCATCTGCGTTATTTTGCCTTTTTGTTCCATGAATCAGAGATGAATTGCTGTTGGGAGACGCCACATTCTACCTTGTCTCAGCTGGGCTGTGCACCAGCAGATATAAACTTACACAAGCAATTGGCAGTAGTGTTCCCACTGCTAAGAGCATGAAGTTGGGTATCACACTTCTCTTAGAGCTGTACTTGATGCTGTCGTCATTGCAGTAAAACCCTCTTTGATAGGGAGAGATGCCTGCGATATTTATGACTGCAGCTGGAAGGATAACTGCACAGATAAAGAAATAAACGTAAATGTTACAAATCTGCTGATCAGATTCCAAACGGACAACGAGAGAGAGAGAGCGAGAGAGAGAGAGAGAGAGAGAGAGAGAGACCTGTTCAGGTTGGATTTGTAACTACTACATGCTTTTAATTTCTTTTGATTAAATTAAAATAAAAAGAATGATAAGGCAGCCAGCGATTTAATTCCTGAATAGAACTTCTCGTCGTCAATTCACAAAGGCGGAAAATAAAAGTCAAAGGCCCAGTATCATCATTTTTTTTCACAAACAGGCACTGCAACAATAAAAACGCTGACTTTAAATTAAATTTAATTTTTGTTGAAAGCTATCGATGAAGTGAATGATCACAGGCTCTTTCCACTCATTGGTGAGTCCAAAACTAGAGGGTATCAATATAAGATAGTCCGTCATAACCCATCAGGGGAATTTGGGAGGAATCTCTTTATCCAGAAGGTGGCGAGAGTGTGGAACTCACTGCCCCAGAAGCTGTGGTTGAAGCAAAAAGCATCAATATATTTACGAGGAAACTTAACTAAATGCATAGTTGAGGGAGAGGGAATAGAGGCGTGTAGGAGAGGGGAATATTTGGGGCGGGGGCTTGTGTGGAGTATAAACCCCAGCATGGACTAGTTGGGCCAAATGTCCCATTTCCGTGCTGTATCACTCAATGTTACTGTTTAATACTTATCATGGGGGTGGGGGAAGGAGGGGAGGGGAATGATAGCTGAGTATTCATGCTATTCAATGTCTTTCACAGAGTATAACACGATCATAGGAGAGATATGGATGAAAAGGGCCCTTCAGCCCATTTGATCTCATCCTTCCAGAACAACCCTGGGATGCCCACAAATCAAGCACCGGCTTTTCCTGGGGAAGGAGCCTTTGATGTTACTGAGCCTTTATGAGAGAAAGTCATGACATCACCAACACACAGTACATTATAGCACATAGTTTATCATAACAACAGGAGTTGCCACTGTTCCTTGGAAAGCACATCTTGATAATTAAATAAGTAGGGATAAAATACTGACAAATACAGAATTACTGCCGGACACAACTTAAACCAGGATTGAAGATAAGGTCGCAAACCACACGCAAGTTGTACGGCTCATCCTCTAGAGCCAACGTGGACAATGGGGGCCGCAAGTCAGCCATTCCTGCTCTGGGATGTAATGTCAGTCCCCCTCGTTGTATCTATTGGTGCAGTGAATGGAGGTGTGAGAGGAGGTATTGTCATTGGCAATGAATACATTGGCCTAATTCCATGTAACCAAAGGCGCTGTGGAGGAACACACACACTGGACCTAATCAATGTTGAACCATGATTGGAGTTGGCTAACCTATCCAACAGAAACAATTACGATAAGTATACGTTTAAATGAAAAGTTTCCAGTACAGGGACACTGACCATCAATGATGCAGTGTGTGTGTGTGTGCGTGCGCGTGCGTGTGTGTGGGTGCGAGTGTGTGGGTGGGTGTGTGTGCGGGTGTGTGTGCGCGCGGGTGTGCGCACGTGCATGTGGTGGTGAGGGTGAAGGTTGCAAGGCTCCACAGGCATCAATAGCAATGTAACCTTGGACCCAAGACTGTAAGAGGTAGCAATAACATAGATGTTTTGTTTCTTTTTCTTTGAACAATACTTTAATTTAGAGGATTTATTGCTCCCCTGTGGCAAATGGCTTACAGACCTTGAGCTGTTAAGCTGTGGTACACATGGTTAATTTCCAGGCATCGCAATTTTGTTTTAAAAAAAAAGCACTTGTAGCAAAGCAACTGAGCTCGTTGATTGAATGGTGCCATGATTTACATTGTGTTCGACTTGGCCCAGTTCATTATCCATCAGGATTCACTGCTCTCTTACAAGCACCTCTCACCATTGATCTATGTACAAGGCGGAGCAGGCTTTGGGTGGAAAACGGGAGAAAAACAGGCTTTGTTATTGCAAATTGTTAGATCTGGCAAAACAGGATTTTTCATCAAACGAGAAGTGTTTATAAGGGTTTTCCAAAAGTGAATTGTTTTGGAAACGGACCAGAAATAATGTTGCTGCTTGCGCACAGACAGGTGCAGCAACCGTAGGAATGGCAGCAGATCCGAGCCACAAAGCACTCCAAAACCTAGCCGCAAAGGTAGTGATTTGCCTTTACAATTACTCAGTGATCGATCGCTTCCTGTTCCATCATCTCTGACCTTTATATTAATGATAATAATCCTTGCATTTGATATAGCGATTATCACGTCTATGAGACATCTCAAAGCGCTTCACGAATACACCGCATGTTTTGTGGGTGAACTGTTTGTGTCCCACAAACAGTCGTGGATTGAGAGACCCAATTTCTTTTTTAAGGGATTATTACCCCCGGAAAAGTGATCCGTCAATCGACTAACAATCGGGTTCCTACTTATTACCAGGTAAACAGAGGCGTGTAGAATAAGGAGACTTGCCTAAGGTTTCCCCCTCCACCGGGCCCTCTCGCCTGCGAGGCGAGTGCTCTACACTACAGGACTCCACAATTTGAATGGACTGACCTCTGCTGTACCCT